ATCCCCATTTGAATCCATTTTCTTGGTTAAATCACCATGTGTAACCCCGAGAAAAACATCATCAAACTGATTTTGGCAACTTCTCACCTCGATACTCACCAACTCGTCCACATTGCGTTCCTTTCCACGGCGACCACATTGCGCTCCGCGTGACATTGCGTCGCGACGTGTCGTGTCGGACGTGTCGAAGGAGTCTCGTTTGGTGGGACTTTACTGTGTTGCTGTGCTTCGAAAAAGGAGTTAGTATATCCAATTTTATGTCAAGATGATGACACGGTTAGGGATGATTTCATGGATTATTCTGTGGATGTTGTGTATATATAATCTCACCTGAATATGTATATATATGTATATATATATATATATGTATGTATATATATATATATGTATATTATATATATATATTTGTTTATTTATTTATATGTATATATATATTTATTTATTTATGAATATGATTATATATATATATCATATATGAATATCATGTACTAATAGATCTTATTGATGATTTTACGGATGCTTATTGCATGGTCAACCCATGGCTCGTTTGTTTTTTCTGCTTTCGACCGCAGGTCGACAGCCCAGTGGAGCTGTTGGATCCATGGGAAAGGAATGGAAAGGGTCAAATTCGCCAAATTTTCTGCAAGATTATATTAATAATCAATATGATTCAATATGTATTAACTATATTAATATGGATGATGGCAAGATTATAGGCTCAAATCTCGGCGATAGTCCCACACTGGTCCCCTGGTTGTCATCTGGCGTCACTGGAACTGGGGAAGCCTTGTGGGAAACATGGGAGACATTGGTATCTACCAAGCATCTGGATAAATCATGATAAATCGCAATCATTCGCCAAGCTGAATTGTTCCATGATTTTTTGGGGATAGCTACCCTCACTAAACCACCAGTCCAGTGACGCGCGACGTGAGGTCCTTCCCACTCTGGCAGATCCAGAGACTCTCTCTCTCTGAAAAATTCTGGGAAGATAGGGTAATTTCGGAGAAACAACACAAACATCTCAAAGATATTCAAATATGTACATACATACATATGTATATGTATATATATATATAATTATATGTATATATATAGAGAGAGAGAGTGTGTATATATATATATATGCATATAATATATATATATCACATTATATCACCCCTTTGGAATCAGGATTCAACAGAAACGAATCTGTTTAAAAAACCTGTAACCTCTGGTAGTTAAGAGTGTGCCATCGCAACTTACTATTTCCAGATGATTTACCTATTGATTTACTTACCATTAGCAGCATTTACCCATTACAAGTATCAATAAGCAAACTTACTAGTTTGCTTGATTTACCTACTATTTCCAGGTGATTTACTTACTAGATTTACCTACTTCACAGGTTTACATCATTTCATTCTGACCATTGGAACCTTGGAACCATGGATTCCCCATATGTTCCCCATTCCCTCTCGGTTCGGAACCACTGCGTCTCCGCCTGCGCCTGAGAACCCCATTTGAAAATGGCAGGTACCTACCATTTGGCTATGGGGTTACCATAAGGGCTACCATATATCAGGTCTATGTAGGTTTATTGTAAATATTGTAAGGGCGAAATTCTAAATTTCAGGGATATATTTGCAAAGACTAGACTATACCGCCTCTGGTTTTATATGATTTTATATGATTTTAAATGATTTTATATGGTACAGTAGCTCCATTTGAGTGTCCTGAGCAATCCCACTGATAAAAATAGGCATGTTGGGATGAAGATAGTGTCGATGATGCCATAAATCATGGCTTGATGAACAAAAGTATGGTGTCTGTTAAATGGGTCTATAGATCCATGTTACTATCATATCAATATCTATTGTCATTTGGATGATCATAGATCATAATCGATCTGTGAAAATCAATCCCATGTTTGTATTGGTGGATATATAATGTTGTCGGTTAAATAATGGCTTTATAAAATTTTATAAATAATCCCATAGTGATGTACAATGGTGTACAAATCCTATCGAGATGAGGAGAAATGGGGAGACAAAATGTACCCAACATATTTTCTATGCGAACTGGGCAAACTGATGTCGTAAACCCCCATGATCATGATAAAACTATGGTGTTTACCATATCCTGTACTAGTCCATGCATGTTCATGAACATTGACATGATGTCACAATGTTCCGTGTTTCGAAAAACACAGCAAGTGGTCACAACAAGTGGTCACAGCAACATACAGCAAGCAGATCCCAGACCCAAAACACGGCCACCCAGTGGATCCCAAGTGCACCTCTCGAACTTGCTGATCTGCTTGGATTTTGTAGTTGGAAAGTTGCCTGCAAATTGAACCATCTGGACCCAACTGCCGACCCAGAAACCATGGTGGATGTAGGGGATGAAACCATGGCGACCCGGACCATAGAATGGGTAACTCAGAGCTTGAGACTTGAATCATGACACATCAAAAAAATACCCTGCACTTAAAATGGGTTTTAGCCTGTGCTGTTTGATCTTCCCCTTGTCTGAAAAAAAAAGTATATCCCGAAAAAAAAAAAAAAACTCCCAAATTTGGTTGTTCATCAGTTTCCCTTTTTGAATTGCCTTGTTGGATGATATATACCATTTTCAGACAGATCCATCCCCTATCTATTTTATGGCTAAAATATTAACCTATCAGACTGCCCTTCGCCCACCTTTCCACAGATCCGCTGGGTCAGAAGTCTGGTACCATAAGCTGCTCACACCCAGCTGGTACTCTACACAAACCGAAATTCATTCCCCCCAAATACTGGAATACCATGGACTTCGATCCATCCAAATTTTAGCAAATTCTCTTGCTTTAATTATATATATATATCTGTTTATATCCATTGTTTTGGTGGTGATATATATATATGATAATCATTTACATACGATAGTATCCATATTTCAGCTGTATTTTATGAATAGCTTGGCTTTTCGATGGTCTCTGCAGCCAACTGTGCTGATCGGGTCACTCGACTCTGGTGATCAGCCGGCTCTGATTCCTCTCTGTTTCTTCGCGCTGTTGAACACCTACACGGCGGATTTCTCGGGTCTGGTTTTCCAGCAAAAGTTGAGCTACAACAATTGGGTATGGGTCAATACCTATAGATACATTTTTAGTGGGATGAACATCCATAAATCCCAGCTATTTTGGGGTTCACTAGGTATCAGGGTTTTGACCCATCCCCAATTATCAAAAACTGATGTTTTGCCTGCAAAAACCGAGGGTCCACCATGTTTTTTTCATGTTTTCTCAACATAAAATGGTGAGTTTGGCCAAAGATGTGCCTCGCATCTTATTGGTGTAACCCCTCCTGGAATGTGTCATGAATTTCAGCTGTAGAGGGATGAATTTCAGAGACCCTGGTATGCTTCTCACCCCAAAATAGCTGGGATTGATGAATGCTCGTCCCCTCGTCCCCCGGAAATATGGTATAATTAATAGCTGTTGATCCATCGCCATTCAGATTTGGTCAGTTTTCGGTATCAGCATGGCCCAATGGCCATCTCAGATTTGGTTTCATTTTTGCTGGTCGGGCCACACAGAAATGGGAAACTATGGGAAACATGCATCATGGTTCTTTCAAATTAATGAAACTCATGTGCTTTGCTTTTCCGTTTTCTTCCAGACTCTGGTTGATTGTGTGCAGTAATTTGGGGTGACCTTAAAAGGTAATAGGAAGAACACGTTCCCTTCCATATCCGACCCCAAAAAGTGATGAAGTAGTTGGGAGTCCGGAGTGGTTCCACTTGTTTCCACATTTAGCTGGTGGTTTACCTTTCAAAAACAGGGACTTTAACCCATCGAACCAACAGACATAGAGGATCAAATGGATTCAGATAAAAACCACATCCGCGCCCCCATCTGCCGTTAGTACAGCGCCCCTTTTTCCCCGCGCTGGAGCCGCCGGTGAGTGTCATCTCCACCTGGCCGTCTCCGCCAAGGTTTTTGTATCTACCGAGAAATAAACATCAACTAAGTATGACTATACAACTAGCTAGTTAATTGTAGTTAGATAATGTTGTATCTAATTATCCTACCTGGAAGCTATTACAACCATAAAGTGTCATCATCCATTGCGCTCAAGGGGGCGCTATGCGATTCCAGAGTTATTCGCTCGCTTTTGACAAAACAGGCTGTGATACAACCCTGAAAAGCGGTAGTATGGAAAGAGGAACGACCTGAACGACCTGTCATTATTGACATGCCCATCTCAATCAATCTTGTTCCATCCCCATATCATGGGTCCCGATATTATCATGGTTTCATCTCCCAGAATCAGCTGCAAAATGTCCAAAAGTGGCCATGTGAAACTCCAGAAAGTCGGAGTTGAAAGAGGAGCTTCCTAGCCAAAACAACCATGTTTTCCTGTCGAAGGTTTCATCCCAAATATATTGAAAAATATTGGAAGTCAATATACAGTTGGGGCCCCATTCATCCCAGTTTACAATTTTTTCCAATGTTAAAGGTGATTTTTACTTTGAAGCCACCAATCAATTGATGTTCCAACGGTTGCTCCAAAAAAACGTGTACCTATGGCGCTGGATTCCTACCTGTTTTAAGGTGGAAATCTTCAAGTCTTGGTCGAAACCCTTTGCTGACACATTCACAGTGACCAACGAAACAACGAATATTCTTAGTATATCTATGTATATCTTAGTATATCTTAGTATCCACTATCCGGTTGTCAAAAATGTTGTTAAACAGTCTATAATCGCCCACTCCTCGTTCTTGCTGCTTTTTTATCCATATGTTTGGTGAAATCCCGACCCGTTGATTGGCCATCCAAATTGTGGCCCTGAAAGTATGGATTTCTGAATTTGGGAAAAGGATGTTCATTGATCCATTGATTGGTTGTTTTCCCCTTCACAAAAAATATAGATTATGTATATATATATATATATATATAATGAAATCAATCTGTTTAATCCCCACTATATCCCATTATATCCCCATGCCATTCGCATAATCCAACAAATACCCCTTGCTCCATGCCTTGCTCCGCGCACGTCTGCAGAGCCGACGCCAGGCCCCAGCGGGCCTGGAGAACAAACAAAAATTGGGAGGTTGAAAACGACATCAACCAGTTGTGGTCAAAATGGCAAACCACATGTTTGGCGGTTAAATTGCGTCTTCATGCGTATGTTTTGGGGTTTGACCAAATTTTTTTGGCACTCCAACCACCAAACTGGGGAGTTTTTTCTACCGAAACCATGAGATTTGAGCACCATGCTTTTAACGGGTGTTGAACCAGCAAACATTGGGATGTATTCGGATATCATAAACACCGAGAATCCATGAAACTCCAGCACCTGGCGAACCGCTTCTGGTGGATCATTCCACCAGGTGAGATTCGCTTTAACATTTGGGTGGATGATTCAGTGGATGATATCATATGATATTATATGATTTACATATATATATATATGATATATATATGTGATATATTTATATGGTGTATATATATATATTACGCGATGTCTGTTCCATCAATAATATGTCCCATCGGTACTGATCCTCATATCTACACACAAACAACTGAGACGTTCATGAATAATATGGCACACCATGGTCATATAATCAAATCATATCAAAACATTACATAAGCGTCATTCCAGTCAGGCATATAACATCTGGCTAAAATTGGTTTAACCAGCGCGGTCTGAGCAGTGAGAGTTTCAAGCTAATTGAAGATTGGTTGTTTGCTCCCAACACAGATTAGGAATGCTGGATGTTTTGCGGTGCAGCTGATTTTCAGGGACCAAGTTCATGGAAACAGCTCTGAGAAACAAGTGGACGGTGATGCAAATCCTGATACTAGGAAACTGGTCCATTGGTCTATCCTCTCATTTTTCCTGTTTGGTCCATCTATGTCCATCTGAAGTACTGGATTCGGGTCATTGTGAGACTAATGCGCTGGATCCACGTTTCTTTGTGGAAAAGGACATGAAACGAATGGTAGTTACATTCTCAACGTCAATTGCTTCTACAACCGTTTTACCATCAGTTGCTGTATCAGCATTGATTAGCCATGTATATCCTCAATTAAGACTAAATCAGCCCTTTATTGCTGACTAATAAATGTTTGATAATCACGGATTGTTTGAATCTTACCATTGAAAACAAAAACTCACCAGTTATTTTACTTTTGGGTAAGATTCACACCCTGCAATGGATCTTAAACCCGACCTACAGCGGGACTCAAAAAAAGTGCCTCGTAACTCCGATCATGACCCAGCCGTGCCCAAAGATTGAGATTTCGACAGTGGAAAAACGCTGATCAGATATCGATCAATAAACAGATATCCAATATCTCCAATATTTCCAATATCAAATATCAGATATCAGATATCAGATATCGACAGAAAAGATTGAGTCTCATGTTAAAGTGAAAGCCTTCCAATATCCTCCAATATCCAACAAACATCAGATTTCTACAGATGTCTTAGGGATACTTGCCCTCCAGTAAATCAACACCCTATTCCAGGCGGCCAGCTGATGGGGCCCTGTCTCAGGCCAGGGCCCTCCACTCATCACACTATCCTGAGGCCAAACCTCCAAGGTCAATAAAATTTATCCACATCGTTCATCTATTCATCCGAGACGTTACTTATATATATATATTATGTATGTTTTTCCCATAAAAATCTCCATTTATAGTGGATTTTCCCACGAAATCCTCCAGATACGTCATATGTCCATCCATGTTTGAACGGTTCCCTATGTCGAATAAATGGCAGCTCCAACTGCGCGCCCATCCTGGATGGCACCTCTGTAGACCATCGATGGCCGCCTGGGTCAATGGGATTTTTTTATATGACACATAGCATTCACATATCAATAACCGAAACTGAATGTAGGTGTATCTAGGTTTTTTAACATATCAATGACTGAAATGTATTATGGTCTAGGTAGATTTTTTTTTTGAAAGACACAGGTTATGGTTGTATGTGTGCAATATGCCTTCCATATGAATGAAACATCTGAACAAAACAGGCAACATTATTTTGAAGAAATAAGTTTTTCCTTTAAAAAAATGTCACATAAAAAAATGAGAGGCAGGCTGAGCTTCATTAAAGGATGCATTGCATTTTTCCACACATTATAGTTTTCTTCCAAGAATCTTACCATGTTGGATCATGTTAGATCCCAAACTGTTTGCATATGTTTGGTTGATATCCCCATGTTTAATTCTTGGTTTTTTGCCAGGAAGAAAAAAACGAACACCTCATGATCTCCCGCCTTCAATGCATCCGCATCGGGAAGCTGGACCTTCGGGTCAAGGGAGTTCAGGGTCAGATGGAAATAATGGGAAAATCATTGGAAAGCGATGGGAAAATGCCGTCTTCGCGGCCTCTGACTCTGGCTGACACAGACTGACACATGGGATTCCTTGTGAAAAAACGATGGGAGACAAAGGGATATCAGCAATTCTTTCTCTGAACCACGTGCTAACCAAGATTCTATGCAAACTATGGTGCTTCCCAATGTTTGAAGTCAGCCCATAAACATGATCCTTCGGGTCTTTGAAGCACCATGCATGAAATCTGTCCATATTCGAAGCCTTGGGTATTTTATTTTAATTCTTGTGAGAATTGGGTACCTCAAACTTCTGTGATTAATATTGATTAAGTAATAATCATGTTCCCATGAAAATTGCATGAACCGGGGCAATGCCGACTAGACCCCATTTTCAGTCACATCCATCTCCATGGTTGGTGAAATACCATGGAAATACCATGCAATTCCGATGATTCAACCACCATAAAATTCACCTTTTCTGGCTGACCTCCGGCATGGGCCCCTCCGGCTCCCGGAAGAGTGTGAGTTCCACGGCACCGCTCGGCACGATGGGAACCATTAGGTAGCCTGAGGCCAGATGGGCTGGGGCAAAAACCTTGATGTTATAATGCACACGCACATGCTAAGCCATGAGATTATGACTGTTACTACTGTCCCTTGCACCCTTGCACCTGCATTGGATGCTGCGAGATGAGATTGATGCTAGGCTATGAGATCAGAACTGTCATTGGCAACACTGCATGGCGTTCGGAATCCTTTCGTGTAAATCTGCGACATGTCAGTGTTAACCATCAAAACAAAGAAATTGAACGCACGGATGCAAGGATACCAAAAGACGCAATCAGAAAGGTTCCCAGACAGCGATGATCCATCTGATTGACCCTTGTTGGCTGTCACGGGAAAAATGCAGGGAAATTTTGGCCAAGAAAATTGGCCAGAAAAAGACTAGCGCCATGCACCATGTCGTTGGCAAAACAATTCACGTCGGACAGATGCTGAGAATTTTTTGGCCATACTGTCTGAAGTCTTTACAAAGGGTAGCCGTGAGCGACAATTGATGTTCAAGTCTTCATGACAAAATGACGGTTTCGTGCTAGCGAGAATGACCTTTTTTGCAGATTGAAACGTTGAAAACCAAGTGGCGGCCAAAAAGTCGTGAACCTATTAGTTTACCATAGTTTACCAATACGTGAATCTTCTGTGCGAATAGACAGGTTGGATTAGATTAGATTAGATTAGAAAAGAAAAGAAAAATATGAAAATCAAGATTGAGATCAAGTTTAAGATTAAGATTAAACATTAGGATTCAAAACAAAATTAAGATTAAGATTAAGAAAGATAGATAGATAGGTAGATAGATAGATAGATAGGTAGATAGAAAGATAGATAGGTAGAGAGATAGATAAACAGATAGACAGACAGAGAGACAGAGGGACAGATAGACGAATAAACAGATAGAAAAACAGACAGGTAGACAGATAGATAGATTAGATGGATAGATTAGATAGATAAATTAGATTAGATAGGAGTAAGATAAAGATTAAGACTGAGATTAAGTTTAAGATTAAGATTGAGAATTAGGATTAACATCAAAATTAAGATTAAGATAGATAGATCGATCGATAGATAGAGGGAGAGAGATAGATAGAGAGATAGAGAGATAGATAGGTAGATAGATAGGTCGATAGATAGGTAGATAGGTAGATAAATAGCTAGGTAGAGAGCTTAGATAGACAGATTAGATAGGTTAGATCTATTGGATAGATCGATCAGTCAATAGATAGATAGATAGATAGATAGGTTGATTGATAGATTGATAGATAGATACATAGATACATACATAGATAGATACATAGATAGATACATAGATATATAGATACATAGATAGATACACATATAGATACATAGATAGATACATAGATACATAGATAGATACATAGATAGCTACATAGATAGATACATAGGTAGATACACAGATAGATACATGGATAGATACATAGATAGATACATAGATAGATACATAGATAGATACATAGATAGGTACATAGATAGATGCATAGATAGATGCATAAATACATACATAAATACGTAGATAGATACATAGATAGGTACATAGATAGATACATAGATAGATAGATAGATAAGTAGATAGATAGATAGGTAGATAGATAAGTAGATAGCTAGATAGATACATAGATAGATAGGATAGATAGGATAGATAGGATAGATAGGATAGATAGGATAGATAGGATAGATAGGATAGATAGGATCGATAGGATCGGTAGGATCGATAGGATAGATAGGGTAGATAGGATAGATAGGATAGATTGGATAGATTGGATAGAGTGGATAGATTGGATAGATTGGATAGATTGGATAGATTGGATAGATTGGATAGGTTGGATAGATTGGATAGATTGGAGAGATTGGATAGATAGGATAGATAGGATAGATAGGAAAGATAGGGTAGATAGGGTAGATAGGATAGATAGGATAGATTGGATAGATTGGATAGATTGGATAGACTGGATAGATTGGATAGATTGGATAGATAGGATAGATTGGATAGATTGGATAGATTGGATAGATTGGATAGATTGGATAGATTGGATAGATTGGATAGATTGGATAGATTGGATAGATTAGATAGATTAGATAGATCAGATGGATTAGATAGATTATATAGATAGATTATATAGATAGATTAGATAGATTAGATAGACCAGATAGATTAGATTAGATTTGATTAGATTAGTTTATATTGGATTAGATAGATTAGATTAGATTAGATTCGATTGGATTGGATTGGGTTAGATAGATGTATAGATGTATAGATGTATAGATAGATAGATAGATAGATAGATAAGATAAGATAAGATAAGATAAGATAGATAGATAGGTAGATAGATAGATAGATAGACCGATAGACCGATAGATCGATAGATCGATAGATCGATAGATCGATAGATCGATAGATCGATAGATCGATAGATCGATAGATCGATAGATAGATCGATCGATCGATCGATCGATAGATAGATAGATAGATTAGATAGATTAGATAGAGTAGATAGAGAGATAGATAGATAGATTGATTGATAGATAGATAGGTAGATAGATAGATAGACAGATAGATTGATAGATAGATCGATCGATAGATAGATAGATCGATAGATAGATCGATAGATAGATAGATTGATTGATTGATAGATAGATAGATCGATAGATAGATCGATAGATAGATAGATAGATCGATAGATAGATCGATAGATAGATAGATAGATTGATTGATAGATCGATCGATCGAAAGATAGATCGATAGATAGATAGATAGATCGATTAAATTGGTTAGATAGGTAGATAGATAGATAGATAGATACAAAGGTAGATAGGTAGATAGGTAGATAGGTAGATAGATATTTAGATAGGTAGATGCATAGGGACATAGATATGTGCGTGTTTGATTACTCTGGGATGCTGCCAGTTGCTGCACCAAGCAACCCTCCACCACCCGTGGCAGGTCCATGGCGATGACGCGAACGCCCGTGGGGACCTGGCCAATGATCCTCCAACTCTCCGGCGATTCGAAGACGGGCGCTGGCACCATGGCCAGCAAATGGGTCCCAGACTTCACCTGGAAAAATCACTGCTGGATCCGACGAATTTCACATGAAGCAAAAGTTGGAATCCTAGAAGTCATCTATGATGGCTAAGTTGGATTACTAAACCAGGCAAAGGATTGGAATTGTGGAAGAGATCTATGGTTAGATGATGAGGATATGAACCAACTTGTAGCTGGGTGCTCCTTCTTGCATGGGATGAAGATTGCAAGCTGGTGGTTGTGCCACCCTCACCTCAAAAACATGAGAGTCACGTTGGATTGTAGCAACTCCCAAAAAAGTAGAAAGGCAAACTTCCACTAAAACAGCGATGAATTGATTTTGTATCTTTTTGCGGCGTGCTGTTTGTTACTACAATCATTCCAGGCATGGATGGATAATGAATAGGGTTTGAAACGACTGGTCAAGGATCTAGATTCGGAAACATGAGACCTTTTCAACGTCTTGGAAGTGGAATGTACCTAAATCATTTTCCGATTTCATGCAGTTGCCCATTTCGGGGAGGATTTTTTTTCTGAATATGGATCAAAGATGGAGATCCAAGCGACTAGACAGCAGATTTGGATCACTTTGCATTATGAACCATCCAAATTTGAGGTCAATAGTCAATTGTCAGTAAATCTCCCAGTTATCGATGATGTCCATATTTTCCGGAATTCCCAGTTCCAGGTTAGGCTACCAGGTGGTACTTCATTTGATATGTTGACTCACCCAATCACCATGGGATGATATACCCTACTCTGTGGATCCCCAAGGTGGGGAAAACCATGATGTATCATGGGAATTCCATGGACTTCTTAAGGTTTTCCCCCACAAAAAAAAATGGACTACCTCATGGACTTGGAATTTTAGGGGATTCCCAACAGTTGATTTCACTGAAAAAAACAATGAATACCCCAACACCATCCTTCGACTTTCCCATTCCACCTGTGAAGCACGGGAGTCACCTGCAGGGCTGGAGCCTGCAGCGGCCAGCGATCATGTTCATTCATTTTCCCTATGGAGATCCCATTTTGGGGTCTATATTGACCCCAAACATACTTGTTTGGTTCAAACTGCTTTTGTTTGTTTGGGTTTGGAAACGTCTTTTGCCAAAAGTTTTTGGGGATGGAAATGAGGAAACTGGAGTCAGTGAAGTGAACACCATTCCATGTTTATATATATATATATGTGTGTGGCGTCTTGAAAGCATTCTGGGATGGAAAAAGGATCCACATCTTGTAAACCACAAAAGCACCAAGTGATTCTCATTTCTCTTGGGATTCGAAGTGGTGACATTTCTCGACGGACGACGAGTCGCTGGATTTAAAATCGTCGCTTCCATCCACATCATTTCACGACTCGGTGGTTTTGGATGCACTATTTGAGTGGCTGAAAATGGAGGCAGATATTAATTCATGAACGTCAAATGTGGCACAAATTATGGTCATTCATGTCATTCCAAGTTGGGGTCAATGGAAACGATCCGCATATTTGAAACAAACCAGCAACTGATGGATGTATTGAGATAACTCACTGATCACTGGTTTCTTTATTTGGTCTGCTTGGTTGTTTGTCCAATGTTCAGCCCTACTTTGCTTCAAGTCCCTTTGGTGAAATACATGCCATCTTTGGGTTGTTTTTTGAACTGGTAAAAATTGTGTGTACCACCTTGCCATCAGTTATACTCAAAGACGGTTGTCCAATGTTCAAGTATATGTATCTCAAGTTGGGTAGTTAAATCCCCGGTTAATCGTAAATTGTTGATTAAGTTGTAAGTTCATGCATGCTCTATATTAATATATATATATATGTGTGTGTGTGTTCTATATACACAATATACATCTTCATACAGCCCGAATTGTTATTTACCTATATACCGGATATATATATATATATTATATGTACATATATATATATATATACTGTGTACATATATATACTATATATATAATATATATATATACTGTATATATAATAGATATATACTGTATATATATATATATATTATAGAGATCCCATTAATTCCCATTATATCCCATGATATTCCCATTCTACTACCATTGATGTTTCTATGGTTTTCCTATGGTTTTCCTATGGCTTTCCTATGGCCTTTGGACACCTCCTCGGCCCAATAGCGCATCGCCTGAGCCGAGATTTAAATGGGAGGATGCATCAAGAAAAACGGGAACATCATGAATGGGTAATGTGTATGTATGAATATATATATGCAGTATATATATATGCATACTGTATATGATGGAAATATAATGGAGATATACTTTACTGAATGTATAGTAACAGTATGATAAAGTGTGTGTCTCTCCATACAATAATGGAAACATGATGGAGATATACATAGTGTGTATGTATATATATATGTATTATATATATAATTATATATATAATTATATATATTCTATATATATATATATATATTCTATATATATATATATACGTATATAAAAAGGGAATATGTTGGTTAGTTCAACAACAAAAAAGGGAGATTGAAACCAGCAAGTTCATGGGGAGATCATAGGATATGGCCAACAATGGTCTGTATGGTAATTGATTACAGATATTACAGCGGATAGTTTCGGAAAGTTTCGGATAGTTTTTTTATAACACCGGTGATTGCGGAGCTAGGGGAGCGACCCAGTACCACTTTTTAATCAACAAGGGTACCAGGGTGAGATCAATCCCGTGTTGATGTGACACAGCAACTGCAGCACATCACGGGTTTTTTTCACAACATGTCACAACACTCATAATGCAGTAAGTGATCTGAATCTACAAGTCTCAAGATCTTACAGATATGATATGTATATAACGGGTGTGTCTCTAATCGTGGTGTACACCCCCAAACGGCCATAAATGGAACAAAGCATACAAAGCCAGGTAGAGAATGGTGTTGAGACGTCTTTGTTATGGTACCCATAACTCATGACACACCCAATTCTTCCATCTAATTCCATTGATTCCATTGATTCATGGGTTAAATCCCATATTTGAAAATGGTTGATGTTCGATGGGTGAGACAGTTGAACCTCCGTTTCTTTCACCATGTGGCAGTGTGTCAAAACCTTGTACCCCTGGTGAACATCAAAATAGCTGGTAAATGGATGTTCATCCCATTAAAAATGGTATTAATAGGTATTGATCCATACCCATGTTTGATAGTGAAACCACTAGAAACTCTCCTATTTTATGTCGCCGGAGATTTTCCGAAGTTCCGCTGAGCTCTGGACCTCTGCTCCACAACCCCTGCAAGTTGGCTCCGGCTCGGGTGGATCAATGTGGATCTCGAGCTCCCAAATATCCAAAGGTTGACCCTGAAAACCTTTGATACTATGGATGGAAGAAATCCTGCACCAGTTGGTAACTATTGGTAACTATGAAACACTGTAAATAATGGGATCATAATGGGACAAGCCATCTACCAACTGAGGCAGGATTTCTTCCATCCACAGTAACATCTGATAGCCATGATTTAGCCCATTCAGCCCGTACCCCCTGGATCCCCCTGGTGTCATCAAACGTGGCCATTCGGCAAAAAAAAAAACACCCGACAATGGAGGTTCAGCTTCAGCTGGGAAGCCCTGAATTCCTGGACTTCCCCCGGAGTTTGGTGAACTTTTTTGGTTCACCAGGACTTCTGATACTTCTTGGATCTTAATGTCTTATATATAGTCAACGTATAGTGGCTATGTTTCACTTCTATCATGTTTTTTTTTCCATCGCCATGTTCCGAACGTCCCCTTCAGTTTCTTGCTAGCCCAAGGCCAATAAAAATGCCAATCCCGCCTCTGAAGATCCCTTTCAGACAGCAGCTGGACATGGGCATAGTACAAATCAATGCCATCACGGTGCTCTTCTCCTAGGCATCGATCGGAGGGCCAAGTTACCTGCAGCTTCTTGAAAAATACCAAAATGCTCATGATGACTGTATGATTTGGGGCTACCTCCATTTTTAGGACATCACTATTTCTAGGAAGGGAACCCAGAGGATTTAGGTTGCGGATGTTCTCTTCAATTCTGGGAACTGTTGCTCGCTGGCGTAAAAACCCTATCATTGAAGCCCCTAAAATCTAAAGGAGCAAGCAAGGGCAGGAAGGGACTAAACAAAAAAACTGACCATCAAAACAAGAAAAACACCATGTTTCCCTTGGGACTCTCCTCCTAAAATCTTAAAACGAGGTTAAGTCAGTTTTCCAAACTTCGAAAACCAACAGATATCCCAACCCAACTTCAGAACCCGTTCAGAATGTACATCCAGAAATGTTTTAGAAACATCTTGCAACCAGCGAATTTTGTGCACAACTTCTACCATAATGACAAGTTGGGATTGTAATACCCAGTTAATCATCCCGGGGTTGTCATTTTCTTTTCTATCATCAGCCAGTTTGTTTTTTCACCCTGGGATACCCTGGGCTACCCTGGCGGACTTTCAGGATCCGAAAGCGGCCACCATTGTTGGCCAAGACTTGGACCTGAACACGGGGCTGCCAGAACTGGAGGATGCTGCGGGCGTTTTGACCAACACTTGGTGCATGATCTGATGGGGATTTCACCCTGAAAAATAGGGGTTTTGTGAGGGTCTTAACCAACAAATTGGTGAAATGGGGATATGATGGGGATATACCCTCTGGTTATGTCAAAATAGCTATTGAAAATGGCCATAGAAATAGTGGATTTTCCCATTAAAAATGGTGGATCTTTCCATTGCTATGTTAGTTTACCAGAGGGTAAACCAAAAAGAATGGAGATCACTGTTTCACTCAGCTGCCGCAGTTCGGAATCGAGAAGTTGGTGAAGATAATTTCAATAACTGTTGAGTCGAATAAGTTCAATAACTGGTGGGTCTATATGAATATATATAATTATATATATATACCTTTTTTTGGGGGGTATCACATGGTATAACTAGTTAATGGGGGTATAAACCAATTTATAACTATTACAACTGGCGGAGCAGCACCACTTTCTATCAAACTGTGACCAAAAAAATGACACATCTACCAACATGACCCAAAAGAATAAACCAAAAGAAACTTTAAAGTCAAACAAGAATGATGACACATCGAGATACGACCAACACTTGGAAACATCAACTGACGTAAATTGTTAAAAAATGATCCTGGAAATGAAGACAAGGAAATCCTTCATCAAAATTTGGAACAGAACTCAGAACTAGCTGATGAATCCTCACATCCCAAGTGCATGGTGCAGTTTGTGAGGCTTTCCATAAGTCATGGGGGTGCCCCATTTAATCCTCCATTTGGGGGATCCCCATTTCCCATAGTAATGGAAAATCCCGTCTATGAATGGATGATAATTTAGGGCTACCCCGATTTATGAAAACCCTCAAATGTTGCTGGGATTTGCCGTGAAATAAACCATCCTGCCTGAGGGTCGGAGCCATAGCCAGCCACAAATTCTTCATGACCCTCCTCGATCCATCGGTGATCCTGGCGATTCCCCGAAAAAAATCTCATGGATTGCCTGAAGGGTAACTTCACATCACCATGGAAAATGGATTTTCCATAGCCCATTGAGCCCGATGATGTCCCTGTCAAAATGGTGATTTTCCATAGCTATGTATAGCTATGTCAATTTGGTCAATTTACCAGAGGGTCACCGGTGAAATAAAGAATCACCTCCAGCAAATCCCCGGAGAGATCATATCGTTGCTGACATGTCCTATCCAGGAAAATATCCCATATTATATGTGTATATATATATATATGTATATATGTATATATATGTGTTGTGAATATCCAACTGTATGACTGCCGTCAATGCCAGGTTTTCCAGTTGATCCAACATGTCTCTGCAGACGCAAGGCTCAGGAGAGCTAGGTGTGGGCAGCGGCGGGATTTGTGTCTTAGAGCCATTGGGTGCTTCGGTGTGTGTGACAGGGTTCACTTGCTTTGGGCGCGGCCGCCCATACTGCCAAAGCTTTGGCCTGACTGAATTTCCATCGCAGCATCTGGCTGCTCCAGTTTTGTGACAACAGGCGACATCTCTTTCTGTGCGACAAAACAGATTTGGGGTGCGACGGGAACTTTGTTGAGAAGCCTTTTTCACTGAGTGATTTTGTATCTTTTGGTCAGTTGGTTACAGTGGGGTTCACAGCAAATTCAACCATTGGTTCACGATCTCTTGAGGGTCTCCGGCCATTTACATTGGTAGCGGAGCCCTCTCAGTTTGAGAGGGTATCCGGGGAGGCATGTCAACAACAGCTGCAGAGACAACGCAACTGGGTGTTAGCAACCAGCTAGCATCGTTAGTGCCGACCTTCGACCCAAGTCGTGATGACTTGGTGACGTACCAACAGAAAGTTGAACTGGTGACGGCCGCATGGCCAAAATCGAAGTTGACTGAGTTGACAACACGTCTCATACTCAACACCACTGGATCAGCGTTTCAGAAGTTGCAATTACATCAAGCAGAGCTGCTGACAGGGGAAGAATTCGCAATCAAGAAGCTGATCGAACTTCTGGGTGGACAATGGGGACGAGTTCCTTTAGCCAAGAAGTATGAAGAAGCTGAGATTGCCCTGTTTCATACTCAACAACATGGGGACGAAACGAACGATTCCTACTTAGCTCGAGCTGATGTGAATTGGAGCAAGTTACTGGCTCAGAAGACGACTCTGGCCGATCTTCAGGCATTCATAACCTTAAGGGGTTCAAGTTTGACAGCAGACGACAAGAAGAAGATCATCCTGGAGTCTGAGTCAGAGGGTCAGTTAACCACCAAGCGGGTTGCAGAATCAATCAGAATGCTGGGGTCAGTGTTTTTCAATGACGTCACCGGCACTAAGCGTACGGTCAAGTCCAAGGTGTATGATCAAACCACACTGGTGGCTGAAGCATCACAGGATGGAGATGATCCTGATCCAACCTTCCTTGCCGAGGACCAGATGCAGGAGGACGAAGTGTTGGAGCTCCTTCTTCAGGAGGGGGATAGTGATGCTCTGCTGGTTCATGATTTTGAGAGTGCCTTGAGTGAAACTGTACAGGAAGATCCGGAGTTAGCTAGTGCATACTTGGCGTATCAGATTGCCAGGCACAAGCTGAATGAAAAGGCCAGGAACAGAGGTTTCTTTCCCAGTCGACCGTTCCAACCGTCCCAATCCAAAGGAAAGGGGTACGGTGCTCGCAGTTCTTTCAAGGGCAAGGGCTTTTCCAGTTTCAGACCAAAAAGGTCACTCCAAGATAGGATCCTGTCTAGCAATTGCCGGGCCTGTGGCCAAAAGGGGCACTGGAAGGCAGAATGCCCTCTCCGCCAAAACTCACAGAATCCAGGTGCTAGCAGTTCGCAAGCTCCAACAGGAACCGTTGTGACCGATGCCAATTCCGAGACTGCCGACAGCCTGCCACTCGAATTTCTGCAGCTGCCCAAGACCTGTGAAGCCAGCATAGATGAAGACGTCGCCTTGTCTGAGCCCAATGAAGTTTTTGTATGTCAAATAGCCTCAAGGGAAAATAGGTTGTACTATCGAGGTAGGATTCTTGGGGAATCTAGGGGGCATAGTATTAACCAACTTGGGGATGCACGTCGCCAGATGACCAGTAGAGAACGCCTTCGCATGTCCCTGCTCAGGAATGAAGATGATGCTCGGCCGTCGATCATGCCCAGTCGTCATGTCCGATCCGTTCCAAGTCTCCACAAAGATGAGAGACTACCATGTCCCGACAGTGTCCGAAACCATGAAGAGATGCACTCACAGGTCAAGAACAATAGTTCCAGTTTTCCCAAAGTTGTCCCGGAAGCCAAAGTGAGTCCAGTTTGTTTCGCAACTCACACCACTTTTGGCGTACTCGACCTTGGTGCATCCAAAACGGTGATCGGAGCTGACCATGTGAAGAGTTTGATCTGCAGCCTGGATCGGTCTCTTCGAAACCGACTGACAAGACGCAAATGCCAGATAACTTTCAGGTTTGGAAATCAGGGTACTCTCACAAGTGACCAAGCATTAGTTGTCCCGATAGGTGACCTCATGCTGAAAATTGCTGTTGTCCCCGGAAGCACTCCGTTTTTAATTAGCAATACACTGATGAGAGCACTCCAGCCCCAGATCGACTGTGATGCATTTTTGCTTCGAAGCCCTAAGCTCATGCAGCCAGTCCGCATGGAACTCACGAACAAAGGCCTGTTTTTGGTTGACTTGAATGAGCTGGCAAGAGCTTCCAAAAGCCCAGAAAGCCTTCAGCCGGCAGCGAAGCCTGCAGTTGAAACCTTCACCACGACCGCATGTCTGTATGAAAATACCACCGAATCAGCAGAAGGTAGAAAGGGTCAGCATGGTTTTCCGGCAGAAAATCCCTCAATGCCTTCGTCAGAAACTCAAAAGCCAAAGGATGGTGTCCGAACATGTTCATTGGAAACTGATGTACAGGATTTTAATCAACATGCAACGGTTCACACTAGCCTGGCCCAAGAAAGATCGCCCACCAATTGTGATAACACCGCACGTGCTGGACCAAGCAGCCATGTCCTTGAGTCTCCGTCTGAAGGGGATCCAATCCAAAGCCGAGCCATCACCAAACGACTTGGCTCACCTGACGCTTCAGGAGCTGGAGAACGAGACGGTGGACTTTGGAAGAAAGAACTGCGGACGCAGTTACCATGCAGGAGATCTGGAACACCGACCAAGAGTGGGTGACCTTCATGGTGGATCGCTATGGAAAGAGTCACAACCTGTCCCACCGCAAGTTCCTCAAGTATGTGGAGCTTATGGTGCAGCACCACGAGGAGAACCAGATGCCCGTGGTCGTCCATCAGGGCCAAGGGTACGTGGGGGGTTCTGGCCATGCAGACGGCCCTCCAAGTACCAGAATGATGGCCAAGCCCAAAGCCAAGGCAAAGATGGGTGCAGCAACGAATACTGGCTTAGCGGAGTCAATCCATTTTCCATCACTGGAAGAAGATCTGCTCGAGGAGACCGAGATGTACAACTCTCTGACTATGGTGCCTGCCCCAGTGAGCCAGGACCCGGAATTCATGGCCATGAGAGATCGCCTGATGAATCTGGAAAATGCATTGACCAAAGTGGTCAATCACCTGGAAACGCAGGCGCTGGAGAATGCCAACCAGATTCATGGGTCGATGTAGGTCCAACGAGCATCCGACATGATGATATCACAGATGCCCTCACCATGACTCATCATGACACTGTGAATCTTAGGAGATGGATAGGCATCCTGGAGCATGAATTGAGTCAAACGATGGCCACCACCAGACCGTTGGGGCAGCCTTTCATGCTAGGAGAAATCTTTTGTGATGCCGACTCGACCTTGACCCATCAGGTTCGACAGTTAGGCCACCAAGCGTTTCGGTTCAGCTTGGGCGATGGAGATCTCTCCAAAGTGGAAAGTCGACAGAAATTGTTTCAATGGATCGCTCAACACAGACCCCAACATCTATGGTATAGCCCCACATGTGGACCTTGGTCATCATGGAACAACTTGAATGCTTCCCGTTCTTTGGAAAATCAGATGAAGTATCAACAATTGAGATCAAATTTAATGTATCAGGTTGCCATGGGGATTGTTCTGTATAGACATCAAGTAATGCATGGCCGACACTTTCACCTGGAACAGCCAAGTAGGTCCCTAATGTTGCATGTACATGGCATGTCCGAGATCCATCAGCATTCCCAAGCATGTCAATTCGATATGTGCACTCTTGGCCTATCAGACCCCGTGTCAGGGATGCCCATGCGAAAACCGATGACCGTGCTCACCACCCATCCAGGGTTATATGCCCAGTTACATGGTAGGAAATGCACGAGCCATAGCAACCATCAGCGCATTGAGGGAAAGACTATGTTTGAAAAACATCCCATCCTGCGCACAGAGTTTTCAGAATCCTATCCCCGAAAGTTTTCCCGGTTGATAGCCAAAGTCATGTCCCAGTCGCCCTTCCAAAGACCGTTCAACTGGACAGTGGGAGCATGGTGCAATGTGGCCGAAACTCACCCGACCATCGGCCAGAAAGAAGTCCGATCAGTGTTCCGGAAGCCAAACCAGCAGCAAGACAAGTTTCCCAGATCAGCACTGAGCAAGCCAACTCCGATGCATGACAAAGATGAGAAGAGGCGTCGGCTGACAGGTAAGCAACCCACGGAACCCTATTTGGAAGATTATCAAAATTGCCTTCAAAAGATTCATCAGGTGACTCCCAGAGTGGGTAAGTACCAGATAACCAATGCACAGATTTTGGCAAACCTGCAAAGACTGTTTCCAGATAAGCTAGTCATTTCTGCTGTGGCATGCCGTGGAACCGATCGCACTCTAGCTCCTCCAGTGGGAACAGTGCCCCGACTGACGCCATTTCGAAAAGCCCTGATGATCATCCGATCCACTGGTGAAGTCAAATTTGAGACACATTTGGAAAAATGGCAAGATCTCTCCAATCGACAACTTATCCGACCAGCTCACAGTTGCCGATTAAATGTAACCATGTTTGCCAGAGACAGAGAACCAGTCATGACCGGTGATTCACAGAGCTCCCAAAGTGTGCAACCGGACGTTCCGGTAGCTGTGAACCTGTAGATAGCCTGCCTCAATCCCAAGACACCACGAGGGCTGACGAAGTTCGCCCAATCGAACAGACTTCCTTTCCGGTCTCCAAGCCAGAGTCCATCGAACATCCCAAAGATGTCACACAGAGCGCCAGTGTGATGATGTTGCCAAAATGGGAACGCCTGAAACTCATGCAGATTCATAAGAATTTGGGACATCCCTCTAATGAGAGACTAGCCACAGCACTCCGCAACTCTGGACAGAGACCTGAGATGGTACAGGCGGCTTTTGACTTAGTGTGTCCCAGCTGTTTGACCCATACTCCACCGAAACATCAGCGACCAGGATCACTCAAACCAATGATGGACTTCAATCACAAGATTTACATTGATGGGATTTCCTGGAGTAACAGTGCGAAGCAGACCTTTTTCTTTTTATCATGTACTGGATGCAGGGTCAAATTTCCACACAGCCTTCTGTGCTCCGTCGCACACAGCCAAAGATGTCATTCAACTGCTGTCGCAACATTGGATATCCTGGGCCGGATACCCGACTGAGATTACACATGACTCAGGTACAGAACTCGTCAGTGAGGAATTTTCACAGTTTTGTCAACAGTACGGCATCAAAACACATGTCACCAGTCCTGAAGCCCATTGGCAGAATGGAAAAATAGAAAGGCACGGCAGGTTCATCCAGGAAATGCTGCAAAGAATTGACACGGACCTTCCCATAAGCACTTACGCTGACCTTCAAGTAGCCCTGAACCAATGCACTCAAGCCAAGAATAGCATGATAGTCCGCCATGGGTACAGCCCCGAGATTATTGTGTTTGGCAAAAGCAGTCGGTTACCAGGGTCCATTATGAGTGATGAGTCAATTCCATCACATGTCTCAGCTGTACAGGAGCCCGAAGAGCTGCATCCGAAGGGTTTCAAACATTTGTTGCAACTTCGTGAGGCAGCCCGAAAAGCCTTTCATGCGGCTGACAACAGCGACTCGATCCGACGAGCCATGCTGAGGCGACCCTGCCCCGAAAGAGGTAACTATAGTCCCAATACCTGGGTTATGATATGGAGAACCACCACATCAAAATCCCAAGAATGGATAGGCCCCCAACGGATCATCCTTCAGGATTCCAATCAGACGGTATGGACTACTCAAGCAGGAAAGTTGTATCGCAGCGCACCAGAAAATGTCCGCCTCGCACATCCAAGCGAAGGGGATAGGGAAGACGGGCTCTTACCAGAAGATATCACTTCCATTCAACAACAAATCACACGCATGAACCAAAGTCTACCAGCCATCCCTGAAACTGAAGAAATGAATAATCCAATAGACACCGATAACCCTAATAACCCAACCCCAAACCACCAAGAGCGCCGTGAAAGTGATCCCAGTGTCACTAGCCCGATCGGTCAACCCGATCATGAACCGGAGATCGAGAGCCGACAAGTGTCAGCTGCTGATGATATAGTGCCAGCCAGCGATTCAAAGGCCAAGACTTTCAACTTCTCTGCGTTGAAGAAGCTGATGCACTTTGCAACAGTTCCAACCAGGATCTTGCTTGGAAATGTGAGTTTGACGTGAATATACCGGAAGCAACACAAATAGAGACTCTTTCCCATGAAGAATCCTGTATCCTCCTTGCAACCAGTGCCAAAAAGCAGAGAACAGAAGTAAGACTTCATGAGCTCACCAAGCAAGAACGAGACCAATTCGAACAAGCCAAGGCCACGGAAGTAGCCAACTGGATCCAAACCAAAACCCTGACCAAGGTCATGCGAAATCAGATTCCTGAATCTCAGATCTTGAGATGCCGATGGATCTTAACTTGGAAACCCCTCGATACTGTAGGCTCTGGCACAAGAAACCCATCAGGGCCCAGTTACAAAGCAAAGGCCCGACTGGTTGTCTTAGGATATTTGGACCCCAAAATTGAAGATATCCCAAGAGATAGCCCTATTCTCAATAAGACCTCAAGGATGTTGATCCTTCAGAGTATTGCTAGTCATGGGTGGACGTTGAAATCCTTTGACATTAAGGCAGCTTTCCTACAGGGTCAACCACAGGCAGACCGTATAATGGCAGTGGAACCAGTTCCGGAGATCCGCAAGGCAATGCAAATGACCCCAGACGAAGTGGGACAGCTGAACAAAGGAGCCTACGGCTTAATCGATGCGCCATTTCTCTGGTACAAAGCCTTAGTTGGAGAACTCACCCGGCTAGGCCTTGAAACTAGTCCTTTTGACCCATGTGTTTTCATCCTCCGTGGACCCAAAGGTACCCCCAAAGAAGGTCAACTACTGGGAGTATGGGTATTCATGTGGATGATGGCATATACGGCGGCACACCAGAGTTCCAACAGATCATGGATAAACTTGAACAGAAATATGCTTTTGGTTCAAAAAGTTCTACAGCCTTCACCTTTACAGGTATTGAGCTAACACAAAAATATGACCATAGCATAGTTTTAAGCCAATCCGCATATGTCCGAAAAATCCAATCGATCCCAATTGAAGCACATCGCAAGACCCAACATGAACTGGCAGTCAATGAAACCGAAAGGGGTCACCTCAGGGGTCTCATAGGCTCCCCATAGGCTCCCTTCAATACGCCGCGACAAATACTAGACCTGATCTATCAAGCAGACTTTCATTACTTCAATCTGAAATCAATCAAGCCACCATCGAGACCCTTCAATCAGCCAACCGTTTACTACATGAGGCAAAACGATACCACGATGTAACTATCACTATTAAACCCATTCCCACCAAAAGCTTTAGATTCATGGCTTTCTCAGATGCTTCTTTTGCTTCGACCAAGAAACCAGATTCCCATGCAGGCTCAATAATCGTAGGCACCCATGAGGATATCAATAAGAATATGCAGCGTCCTATAAGCCCTTTAGCCTGGGGAAGCAAGAAAATCCAGAAAGTGGTCACCAGCACACTTTCGGCTGAGACGACTTCACTAGCGACGGCATTGGACCAGATGGCATGGATTCGTCTCCACTGGCAATGGCTGCATGATCCAAAGACACCATGGCGAGACCCTGATAGAGCCTTACTTCAACTCGATCCTGCAATATCAGTATCCACAATTCATGAAAACCAAGATGTTGCGGTAACAGATTGTAAATCTTTATTCGACTTGATTACAAGGACAGCCCCACCATCATGTTCAGAATTCGGGGTTCAACTCATGGTTAGATCAATAAAGGAATCTCTTAAAGAAGGTATCCAACTAAGATGGGTTCACACGGGAGCCCAATTAGCTGATGCACTCACAAAGGCCATGCAGGCCCATTTCTTGACTGAATTTCCATCGCAGCATCTGGCTGCTCCAGTTTTGTGACAACAGGCGACATCTCTTTCTGTGCGACAAAACAGATTTGGGGTGCGACGGGAACTTTGTTGAGAAGCCTTTTTCACTGAGTGATTTTGTATCTTTTGGTCAGTTGGTTACAGTGGGGTTCACAGCAAATTCAACCATTGGTTCACGATCTCTTGAGGGTCTCCGGCCATTTACAATGTGTATATATATATATGTATGTATATATATATATACACATATATATACATATATATACATATATATATATATACATATATACATATATATATATATACATATATACATATATATATATACATATATATTCCCATAAAGTGTCAATGATCATCGATATGATTCATCAGCCAATCATTATCTATCAATAACATCCCCATTACATCCCTATACGTTTGACGGTCAAAAGCCCTATGATGGCTAAATCCCCAAGTCATTCCATGTATACAAATCCGAATGTATGTTGGTCAAAGCCCCACTTTTACTATCTTTTACCGCTAAAACTATCCCCAGATAAATATCATTTCTCATCCCAATGTGGCTATGAGTCAAAACCCTGGTACCCTAGGTACCCTAAAATAGCTGGTTGCTGGATGTTTATTCCCCTACATATGGTACGAATATGTAAGAATAGGTTTTGACCCACCCCCATGTTGCGTCAAATCCCTCCTCGATGTTGGCAAGGACGCCGGCAGATCGCTCGCGGGGAGGGTAGGACCTTGACTCGATGATGAAGGTGCGAGTGGCTAGGAATTTGGGGAGGATAGTGGTACCTGAAAATTGGGAAATGACTTACCACAAAAAATTGTGGGAACATGGTAAGAAGAAAATGGTGGTTGAATGGTGATTTAACTTGATTTAACCATCAATTTTCACTGATGAATAGTGGACATGGTTGTCCAAAAATGGTGGATACCACGAAAATGATCTATGGCCTGGGCATGCCTGGGCCATATTTGAATCCGACAGGTAGGGGCGCACGTATCTAAGGTTCCTTTCGGTCTGGCTATGAAGTAGGGGCCATGAACCGGATTCTGTGGAAAAAAACTGGTTGGTTAATAGGCATTCCATGGAATTCCCGTAGATAATGAGAATCCCCAATAGATTGGGTAGTATCATTCCCTGTAATAATCAACCAATATGGGGTTTGAAGACTGCTCAACTGTTCCGTAGATAACTCTTAGGGAATTGACAGGCCCCTTTCATAACCCCTTAACTGTAGGGCACTCCAAACTACAAGCATTCCAGTTTCCGACATTCCATCCTCAATTTATGACCATTTACTCGGAACACTGATGACCAAACAGTGGTTTTATGGAAAATGCTAAAATTTTGGACGAAGCCTAATCCATTGTTCATGCTATAGTTCCCTTTGTTTCATGCTTATATATCTTATATACCATCTGGTTATTTAACATAGCCATGGAAAATGGCCCATTTATAGATGGTTTACCTGTTAAAAATGGTGGATCTTTCCATGGCGAAGTGTTAGTCATAACCAGAGGGTAGTCACCATGTTTGATCCAAATCTTCATGGGTCAAATCCCCACGGATCCATGGTTCATCTGAACCAGGCGACTCGGCGTAGCCAAATCGCGCAGCGGATCGCGCATCGGCCGAAGGTGGTAACAGTTTCCCCGCCGCTTCCTGGGGATTTTTTCACCATCGGATCATCAAAAGATGAAAATTGACGTTGTGTCTTATCATTGACGTTAGACCATGTTGATGGTAAATTTGTACGTGAATATGATACTATGGCTATATATATGATATCATATTAAATATATTTAAATATCATATGACATCATAGTTATTCAATATCCTCGATATCCAAAAAAAATAGACCGTGACCATAATAACCAACATCTCTTCGGCTTGGATCATCGGCCAACGAAGAAGGCCAATGGATAAACGACATCATGATTCCAATTGATCCACCAAACACACTGCATGATTTACATCTCTAATATCATCCTAATGACCTGATGATTCCAGTCTTTTCCAGTTCAAAACCCCCATTTTCCCGGACGAAAATTGCCATATCTGTTTTCCTCATGCTGTGAACAACGGCGGCATTGAGGCTGCCACCACAAAGCGGGGTTCGAAAAGACTGAGCGCCAGCTTCCCCTCGGCATTCCTCAGATGCTTAGGTTTGGTGACATTTGGTGCTTCGAAGCTTGAAACTTCGTCATTTCCAGTATCCAACGATCCAAATTGGGTGTCTACAAAAATTGAACCCCCGGACTGTTGAGGTCCTAAGCCCTATAGACACTTCTGGTCTTCTGGTAACGTGGTAAATCCATGTGAATCCGATAATCAACCATCCCGAAACTTACCACATTGTGTGGTTTACCACACCAAAAAAAAAAAGCATTGTTGCTTTCAAATCTCACCATCTCCATCTATCTCCTCATTGTAACATTTGTCCAACTTCCTGCCCAAGCTTCACCACGGAAGACCAAGGATGGCCCAGGCTGAAGAGTGGCAAGCCGCGGATGCGTAAGCTTCGCCGACAGATGCGGGCCATGGTTTGACGGAAGATGTCGAAGCTGCTTCGACGGATGGACGACTTGCCACTCACTGCTTGAAAAATGGTTTCTGAGGTTATCATGGGTTATCTAATTCTTCGCCACTCAATGTGAGAACAGAGATCTGGGGTTATTAAAAAAATGCGATTCACCACGATTCGTGGGATGGTCCTCCAAGCTGATGGGGATGGATCTCACTGCCGGCAAAGTAAACCCATGTTTTATCCGATTTTGAAGGAGAAACACCCCAGAAATGGTCACCAAAATTGAATCGTCCATGGGGTATTGCTAATAGCTTTAAGCCCAATTGTTGTTGCTCTGGATCAGGTTCTACACTGCGAAACTGAGGATGATTGGGTTTCGGCGATCAAGTGATGGCTTGATGGTGTATGTGGAGTTCGCCCCGTTTTGTGGATGCTCGCCCAGAACCAGCAAAAACACTTGCTTTGAACATCTTCGAACATACTTCCAGTGGCAAAGACCAAAAACGACAGTTCTTGATGTCTTCAAGGCCACCATTGCCCGTGTTTGTTGGGCAGTTTTTTCTGCCCTTCCAGACTTGACCCACATCCATCCAAGCGAATCGCTTGAAGCTTCAGCTGCAATTGGTTCATCAGATCTCATCTACCCTCTGGTAAACAAACAGTTTGCCATTGAAAATGCCCATTTATAGTGGATTTGCCCATTAAAAATGGTGATTTCCCATAGTTATGTTACTTTACCAGAGGGTAGGGATGGCATGTTGTGGATAAAATCAAATAAGGTGGTGAATTTTCTGTGCAAAAGTCGACTAACTTTGGGAGACACTTACAAGTACTGCAAGGTCATTGCATCACCCAAATCTGAGGCCGAAACCGGTCGAATTTTACCCTGAAAACGAACATCCCATCTCTTAACCTGCAGATTGTCAATTTCTAAAAAAGAGAAATATGGGTGCCCGTGCCCCCAAAAAAACTCACCACTAACCCAAGCATTCAATGGCATTAAGGTTGTTGTTGGTGGTAGAAGTGCAACCCTTCAAACAGTTTTGGGTACAACCTCCAAAGTTCATCAAAAAATTCCCTCCAGGCCCCCCTCAAACCTTCATCCAGGAGCGTCTTAAGTACATCAAGTTCGGCGCGCAGGCCTGGACAAAAGGTTTTTTTAAAGTGTTCACCTTCGTGCGCAGGCGCGCCGCCTTTTTTTGGTTGGTTAGTTGGTTGATATACCCATTGGGATTTCCATAATCTCCATATGAATCAAGCCATATCGAGCCAGAAAAAATCACCATCAACAATATGATGAAACACCATCCCAAATAGGGTGAATGCTACCAATAGCCACAGGAAAAACACGTGCCACGTCAGCCCCTGATTTTGTCAATAAGTCATAACAAGTCTATCAGAATCTATCAGGATCCTGACATGTCCGACCCCAAGAGCGAATGTTTCAAACCCCCAAGAAAAGAAACTATGAGAGGATGCCTTAGCAGACTCGCAGACCAATAATCATTAAATGTGGATGTAAACCGACTCTTTTCAAGGGGACCAAAGCAATTTAAGTAAAAGAAACGATTTCAACAATCAGAATGGGGATGCTTCATCCGCAACAAGTCACAAGTGTTGCAGTGATGCAACATGATGCAACCGGGCAAAAAAAACTCCTTAGGGTCAAGTCGTTGATGGTGGAGCATGCCAATTCGTAAGGTGGGATACCCCGCCCATAGGACAAAATCTGGCTTGATATGGTTTGATTCATATGGAGATGACGGAAATCCCCATGTTTCAAAGTGAAGTCCCTATTTGGGATGCTTAAATCATATTGTTGATGGTTAAATCTGATTTAATCCTACAGTTTGATGGTTACACTCTGGTTATTCAACATAGCTATGGAGAATGGGCCATAGCATTATCATAAGTTATAGATGATTTACCATCTTATATCGATTTTAATAGAGATGTTCCATTTACCATCGTATATCCAAGATATTTATATTCATTTACCACCATTTATAGATGATTTACCTATTAGAAAAAACGGGATGTTCCGTGGCTATGTTTCATGTCCCCCGATGGGTCCAGCTGGCGGAGCCTTCAATCTCGTTGCGCAACGCGCCGACCTGGTGGTCGGTGACTTGGATTCCATGTCCGCGTCTAATAATGAGATAAACTTGGGGATGGTTGGTGATATATGGTAAATATATGATACAAAATATGAGATAAGCATAAATTTGTGGTGTTATAACATACTATGTATAATCATGGTTATAGAATTAAAATATTGTAATTATAAATTATAATGTTAGATAATAACAAAATTATGGTTTCTGATGATTTGTGTATAACATGGGGCGCTCGGGTTGACCACATGATTCCGATCCTTTGATCTTTTGACATCGAGGAATTCGCGAGTTTTTGGACATCGTTCCAACATCGGAGTTTGTAAAAAGGCTGAAGTAGAGAAGTAGAAAGTGCAAAACAGTTGTCGTACATCCCATACCTACCATGTGTTAACATCACACGGATGAGGCTCCGATTAGTTTTGA